CACTGTCCTTTCTTTTCCTAACAACCACTTTTTCAGACTCATCTGAAAATTGAAAAATAATTTAGGATGTAGGCCTACCAGTATGTACAGGACAGAGCTGTAGGCTACACCAGTTTGTTTCTTTAAATTGAGTTAATGTTAAGTTACATAGCAGCCAAAACACAAGGGTAGATGCTAGCGCAAACCGGCTTCACTGTTCTCGCAGTTGGGGAAACAACAGACAGACTTTTCTTGGTCTTGAGAAGCTGACACGCTGTAACTGACTTACGTTCACTGTCACTTTCTGCCGCTCGACAATCAAACACTTGCTACTCACCTCCCGATTTGGAGTTACGCTGCTCTTACAGCACCTGTCACGTAGATGTCCTTTGAAGAATAAGCAGAGGAAGCGAGCCAAGCGATGAGTTTTACCGTGTTCGCATAGTGTGTGAGTGAAAATTAGTAGTGCATTGATATAATAATAATAATGATTGTGTGAAATTTAAGTAGCGGCGGCCATAATTGAGCAGCGCACGACACTGCCGCTGGGGTTTTTCCTGCACAGAAAATTGCAAAGCAGCAATCAGTGGACCACTCTTGATTTCTTACTTTTGTAAATATCCCCTCACTTGCAGCTGTGCAGTTTTAAAAACAATTATCTCCAGACTCCTACAGAATTTTTAGGGCTGCTTTTTTCAACTTAGCCCTCAGTAAAACATAGTTTTTCATTATTTATGATCATGTCACAACTTTACTGATTGATATTTGGGAAACTTTGCTGCAGGGCTTTAACATAGTCAAATGGGGTAATTGTTCAGGCCTCCGATTACCAATTTCCTGTGGGAAAACCTAGTATTATTGGACAAGTCTAGAGACAATAAAGTACTGTTCAACATGCCTGTGAGGGTCAGTGAAACTCCTTCATTATTAGGAAATCCAAATGGTGAAACACATCCATTTGGCTTAACTAGCTACTGTTACAAGCCTGCTGTTGTCTCAGCTCACTTATGAGCACTATGTAGACGTTGCTTACCTCAGTGAGGTGTTGATGGCTTGCTATTCACCCAAATTGTAGTAAGAGAGGAGCGTGTCACATGCACCACTTCATCTTATTAGCTTACTGTGGCTGATTAGATGAATTGGTTCATTCAGCTGGCAGCCTGTGCTAAGGGAGCGCTCTGCATTATAATGTAAGAGTTTTGTGAGTCTGTTTTTTGGTCAAAATTAGACAAAAAAACTTCTGAGTACAAGTGGAAGGAGCTCTCATTATTGATTAATATGTTGCTTACTTTTATGAAGAATGTATGTGGTCTATAAAATGTCAGTGTTTGGCAGAATGCCCATCACAATTTCCCAAATTCCAAGGAGGTGTCTTGTTTTGTCCAATGAACACGTAAAAAACCCAGAGGTATTCATTAAACAGTCAAAAGCAGCTAATTAAGTTTGAGAAGCTGGAGCTGGTACATGGTTGGCAGTTTTGCATGATCAATGATTTGATCCATCATCGAAGTAGATGTGATACATTTCTTTGTCAATACAAAAGAAAATGGCCCATTACTTCCACTGTGACAAAAATGGTGGTGTGTAGCTTCAACAGTAGTGAGTAGTGAACTTCGTAGCCTATGACGTTGTCGCAGTGGATATTTTACAAGCACGGACCAGCTAAAGCAGCACTGAACACACAGGGTGGAGATGTTGGTTTCGGTTGTTTGATAGGCTGCGTCATTAACAAGCCCACATGCGGCTCACCTGCTGCCGTGATAACGGATCGCGAATCACAATGCCTGCTCGACCATCTGTCAGCCATCGCCAATGGACGATCATCGTCTATAGGCCCAACCCTTGTATGACCTCTTTTCCCTTATCATTCATTAGTATCCTGGTATGCTGCTACACAGGCTGCTCAGTTGTTTTTGTCAGTTTTAGTATCAGTTTGTCAAGACATAGCCTTCCACCACAGACTGAGAGGATTTTTATTATTTGTATTATACTGGGGAATCACTCTGTATTATTGTGTATAGCCTTTCACTGGATTAATATAATCAATGTCATGTAATAATTTTACAAAACTGCCATTCAGTGTAAAGATTCTAAGTAGATTGTAATTAATAGCTATGTCAAGTGTTTTGTTTAAAAGAGTTTTGTCTGATGCAGTGCTAAACAGTCGAACAAAGTTAGTTGTACTGATCATTAATTAGATTATTCATTGCTATTTTATGATATACTGTGTATTAGAATTTTTTGTAAATTAATATTATGGTATTAAGTAATTCAGCAATATCGCCTGGTGTATGAGCAACCAATTAGTGCTGGGGTCATAGCTGGCATTGGCTCATGCAATTAATGGAGGCTCTGGTACTCAGAGCAGTTCTGAAAGTGGTTCTCAAGCAGTTTCAGGGTTGCTTTAATGCTTTATGGTTCATAGACAGAAAGACAGTACTTATATGCCCAATTGACCCCCTCAAAGACAATCCTGGCTCAGACACTAGTTCATTTTGTCTATGAGCACATATATTCTTAACTGTACTGGTGGGTTGAACTTTTCTCTTACAGTTTAAGAATGTTTTTGGCTTTCTTCCTGACACATTCATATTCAGTTTCCCGTGCGATTACCCAGAATCCACTATGCATACTGTCAGCTGTGTATTTCCGTTCTGTGGGTAGAATAGCACCACAACATTTGTGTATGTGTTTTTTTTTTTTTCTGTCTGTGTGTGTGCATGATTCTGTTGTTTAATGGCAGCTGTGTAAGCGGAAACATCCTTCTCTTGAATCCTCTTCCTATAATCAGAGTGCTTTCTTCTTCTCTCTCTCTTTTTCTTTTGACCTCCTATAGAAACATGTACAATTAATTTCAATTAGCTGTGGCAGTGTAAGTAAAGACAGCCCACCTTTTTGTAGGTGTACAGCCGTGCCTTGACAAGGGCGCAGGAAGGCATAATATCTACACTAAAGCTGCGACAAAATTTACAGTAAATGTTTCAAAAAAGACTTCATACATTTTTCAACAAGTGTTTGCTCAGTGAGGTTATAGTTTTGCAAGGCCAAATCTTTACATTGTACCTTTGGGATAGCTGAGTTTTGGCAATATTTCGACATGTACCCCTAATTCAGGGCCATATGCCTGCTGAAGTTGCATTGAGTAAATGTACTTGATGCACTTGGATGCACTCATCCAACTTTGTCAGTTCCGATACCAATACCTAGGCCTTGGGTATTGTTGATGCCGAGTACCCATTCGATACCAGTGTATAATTAATCAGCTGTATTCGTCACTAGGAATCATTCTTTTATGTATAAGGCAATATTATGTACAGTTTGGTGCGATTCTGCACCTCTACCTCTGTGTAATTCCCAGCTGTCGTAAATAAGCTTTACACATGCATTTGTTATGAGTAGATTACGATAAAAAAACGCCAACTTTGCTAAAAGAGCCAAACATCAAGTGTGACAACACAAGACACAACAAAATCACTTGCTAGTCCAACTGTGTATACAGAAAGAAAGCCTGCTCGGCATCTGTCTTGCAGCCTTTTATTTCACAAAGCTCTTGCCAACGTCTTGGTTACACTCTTTTTCTCTTCTTGCCTTCCTCCGTCAGCTTCCTCTTCTGCCTATATGCTTCTGCAGATGGCAATCATTATGTCCATAGAACCTGCTGAGCCCAGTTATGTTGCCTGGCTCCAGCTTGACACCAACACCACTCCACCTGCAGCAGTTAAATGTTGCTTGAAACTTGGATGGCAAGCTAGCCAACAAAGCTAGACCGCAACCGACGCAAAAGCACTTACAGTAATGTCAGTGTGTGTTATCTAGTTGCTTACATCAACTCGAGATTTATAGCTAGTGACTAAACTTCTTGAGTCAACAACTCTACAAACGCAACCAAATATCATGCAAGCACATTAACACAAGACATAGCAAGCCAGCTAATAAGTTATTACTTACAAGTCAAACAGAAAGATGACCAGCTCAGCATCCTTTCAGCTCTTTTCGCATCCCAAAAGCCAGTCCGATATTTACGTCTTCCTCTGTCTAGCCAAAGCCATCATATCCATACTGAGAGTACAGAGCTAGCTTCTTCCAAAGAACTTATATTGTATACTTTCGGTCACTCTATTCAGTTCAGTTACACATGTAGGCCTACTATGCAATGCGTCAGCAGTGTGCTGGTAGATCTGAGCATTTTGCTGGAAGAGCTAACATAGCATTTCCTTATTCACGTTTTAGAATTGGCTTATAATTTTGACCAAATTTTTGGCAACAGTACAGCAATATTCCCTTATTTGTGGAAGAATTTTGTGCAATATTATTTTCCTGCTTTTGTCCCATACCTGCATGCATTGTAACTTTAGCTTCCCTCTGTCAAAATCCATGAAAAAAACAGCTTTCCTTCCTTTTTCCGTTCTCCTTTGTGATACTGATGTTACTTGTGATTATGCTAAATACATTTTAATGTTATATACTCTTTATGGACCTTGGCAGGGCATGTGTTTGTCTAGTTTGAAAGCGGTACTGCTGACAATGGGTGTCGTATGGAGACATTAATGGGCATAGCCTGACACCTGGTGGCCAAGACTTGCAGGTGCATTTCAGATATATTAGTGGCACTCTCCTCTCTTTAAAAATGTATTGATGAGTGTTGACTGCTGATCTGTTACCAATATGTCACACATGTAATTACTACCTTCCAGATGTCATGATTATCTCAACTTAGATTCTCATTTAAATGTTATTAGTTCTCTAGAGATGTGTATGAACTGGATTGAGGTATGACAGTGATTTATTGATAGGGTTTCCCTCTGTCCTGCTGTGAATCACTCATAAGCTCATTAGACAGTTTCTTGGATCAGTTTCCTGTTATAAATGATGTTGATGATGATGAGAAATGTTATTTCTGTCTAATTGATTATTTCTGTTTCCCTCCCTCCATCTGTCTCCCTTCTTGTCACCACCTTGTTCCTTCTATCTGTTTGATTTTCCTGTCATTTTTCTCCCTTTCATCCGTTCATCCTTTACAGACACTCAAACGGCTGATTCCTGATGAGGTAGGTTTATTATTGTTTGCCACATATATCTGTGTGCTTGACTTGTCTGTCTGTCATTGTGGTCTTTGATAAATCAACTCACCATTACCAATTTAATGCCATGTAACCCTTTGTCAACAATCCACTATATCACAAATATTAATGTTTGTGTTGCTCACTTTGGATTGTGCATGCGTCAAAAATGCATACTGACAGCATGAAATACTTAGCTATATGCTATATGCTAATGATGCCTTCGTTTACCTGCAACAGGAAAGTCATTCATATTAACACATTTTTATTCATGAGTCATTGTGGGGGGTCACTGTGTGCTAAGGTACATATCCTAAAGTTGTTGTGCTTCAGTGTTTTTCATTTGGCACTAACTGATTTAAACATTTATAGTCAAATGCCAAAATGGTACAACACACAAGTATTGGCAATTTGCACACAGAGTCATTAAAACCACAGGGACATAAAGCCCCCATAGCTTGTTAAAATTGAGTCTTATGTTCTGGGCCTGGCAGTGATAACTGCATATTGAGTTTGTCTGCATAAACCTTTCACGTCTCTAATCCCTAATCATCGTTGCACATTGTTAAAATATCCCTAATTAAAGGGAGATATAGCCTTTGGGTATGTTTTTATGGTTCAATTAAGTGACATTGGTTAAGAGACTAGGCCTGTCTTCAGACCGTGAGTTGATTAGGGATTGCTACCTTGTTGTGTGGCAGTGATGGTTACACTTTGCAGTTTTTTCTGTCTGACCTCTTTCCTCTAACCTGTGCCATGTTGTCTGCTAATCCAGTTGGAGCGCTTTACCAGCATGAGGATGAAAAAGGACAAGGAGAAGCCTGGCCATGTGCCAAGTCAGCGACACTCTTCAGCTGCAAGCTATGAGATGAATGCTCAGACTGCTATGCTGCACGATCATTCTGATGAATACGTCCTGGAACTCTTTGAACAGATGCTGGTAAGTGTGTGTGTGTATGTTGTGTGCATGTGAAAAATTCAGCTTTTGGAGAATCACTTCATTATCTCCCTGAACTGCCATGGAAACAAATTTATCTCACACTGATTAATGACCCTTCTTCTAGAATTAACTTTAAATACCTTTAAAATTCATTATCTGTGTCAAAATAGATATGCCAAGACAAGAAATTTGAAGGAATACCTTACAGCAAAAAGGACAAATCTTTTGACACAGCAAACTGCAATGTTTGATATCTTATACTGGAAGGGTTTCCAAATAATGCACTATTAGGGTGGGAGTCTTTAAGCACCTCACGATTCGATTTGATTACTATTCACTACAACGTGATAATAAAATGATTATTGATGCATCTTTATTTTCTGTACAGGATTTCTTTTTTTCTCACTGTGTGGCTACTTAGTACTATTAAAGCATTTGTAATGATTCAACCAAGTAGCTAGTAATGACATGTGGCTAATTAACATTATTACCTATAAATTTAGCAAACATTACCAACCAGCCAAAAAACATACCGTTAGCTTTCCTGCTAAGTTTCCAGAATGTAGCCCAGAGGAGATGTTGGCTAGTTAGTGAAAATCTTGAATTACGCATTGATATCAGGGCTGTGGCGACTCGTCGACATAATTGATTACGTAAATACATCGACTCGCATCATGTGCGTTGAAGCGTTGTAGCTGCATTCGGTGTTAGTGGGATTTCCTTGGGCAAGCTCCAGCTGCAAGACCATAAATCCATGTCAGAAACATTTAAAGTTTTAAGTAAAGTAGCCTAATTAATGTCTGTTATTGTTATTATCACAACACATCAGTGATGTGGAAATTTGATTCATTTGAAGATATGCTACTATTGTCACTATTCGAAAATCGATTTTTGACATTTGTGAATCGATAAAGAATCGTCCTTGTCTGACTCGCGATGCCTCTAAGTATCGATTTTTTCTACCCACCCCTATTATCTGATAACTCTGCTCAGTGTCATAGCACATCAAAACCTCCTCTGCTCGCACTTTTAAACTGAGCATCTGTTGGCATCTCAATGGGGGGTTTATTTTCCTTGCTTCCAATATAGGAGAGACTGGTTGAAATACCCTAATGTAATTCTTCATGTTTTTAAATAAAATATAATTTCCATTTTAGTATTTGTTCAGTTTATTAATTGCTTCAGTCTACAGATTTTTCATTATGCTATCGCCTTGTTTCACAATACTTTGTTCATCTCTCCATCTTACTTATTTCTTTTTTATTCTTTATATTCTACTTTCTCCTGACTTTTTCCAGGTGGATATGAACCTGAATGGGGAGAAGCAGCAGCCTCTAAGGGAAAAAGACATTATGATCAAACGAGAGATGGTCTCCCAGTACCTCCACACATCTAAAGCTGTCAGTACCAAAATCAATACTGCTAATATAATGTACTGAAGGGAATTTGCAGACAGCTTCATGCAAGTCGTTGTCTTTCCAGTTTTGGCTCACATCGATACAAGTTATAAAGCATTTGGTCCTTTACATGCCACAGTGTCCTATGCTAAACACAGAGTGCTACATATGGGCCTATTTGTCATATTCATGTTTAAAACAGATTGAATGAAGCCAGACTGAAGTGTTTTCAAGGCCAAATAAAAACTATTCAGTACACTTATCTTAGACTGCTTGTTCAGACGACTGTGCAGACAAAGGCCTTTCCTTGACTGTGTTGAGGGATTACCTTTCCTTATGTGGTTGGAGTAATCAAGTCATGGCTGAAGTATTATACACATTATTCAAATGTCTTGTTTACCCAACTACACTTATAGTAGTTGGGTAAACAATGTTTCAAAAGCAGCAGGTGTAATATAATCAAATATGGTGAACGCTACTAGCTCAGAGGACCTACATAACCAAGCACAGATGGTTGTTAGCACAGTTCATTTAACTGTGAAATAAGCCTATTAAGAGAAAAACCTAAACACAGTCCTCTCTTTTTTTTTCTTTTCTTTTTTTTTTTTGTAATACTGCAAATCAAAATTTCAAATTAGGCTTGACTGTTGCCTTCAGTGCCCTGCCATTGTGCTTTCTTGTGGAAATAATACCAATTATAACCTCTAGGAAGACAAATATAAATGCAGAACACAATAATGATTGTGTGTTTGTGTGCCTACTGTGTCTGTTTGTTTGTTGATTAGGGCCAAGACCAGAAGGAGGGCTCCAAATCAGCAATGATGTACATCCAGGAGTTGAAGTCAGACTACCGAGACGCACAGCTGCTGAGCTGTCTGGAATCTCTGCGAGTCTCACTCAATAACAACCCTGTCAGGTAATACGCACATATACTTACATACAGATACATACAGTGCCATTGAAAATAAAACACTGAGCCAAATAAGCACAGGTGGCAAAGCTTTTTACAGATCTTTCACGATTACTGTGTAACTTGACAGTGCTTAAGCAATTTTGCAAAGAAAAATTATACAAACGATGTCCAGTGTGCGAATGTGATACAGACCTATTCACATATGCTTCAGTTGGTGCCAAAGACGCTTTTAAATTAAATACTGACCTAACAGAAGCAAATTCTTACGTGGTCTCTCACACAGGTGCATTCAACTTACTCTATTATGTGACAATTGGCTGGAGCAGTGATTATTTAGATGTATTACGGTAATATGAATATTTATGACAATAATAGAGGGATAACATTTATGAATTATTTTCTGTTTTAAATTTGCACTTAATTTAGATAAATTTTATTTGCACTGTAATGTACAATAACACAAGCTGTCCATTATTTATTATTCCTTGGCCATCTTAAAAACACATTAGCGTGAATAGGCATGCAGGAAAATGTGAAAATGTCAAAAGCTCAATGCACTAACGTGAACTTGTCACTTCCAGTTGGGTGCAGAACTTTGGAAATGAAGGGCTGGCCCTGCTGCTGCATCTGCTTAGAAGACTACAGGAGGACAAAGACGAGTACCCGTAAGAGAGTGAAACCACAGATTAGGCAATTGTACTCTCTAGCAATGTGTTTGCAGTCTTGTCTTTCTGTGTCTGTCTTCAATGTAGAATGATGGGAGTGAAATGTCAACACGAGATCATTCGTTGTCTAAAAGCCTTTATGAACAACAAGGTAAGAAAATGGAATGTTTATTCATTTACATCAAGATACCTAATCCTTTCTTTGATATGATTGTACGCAGTTGTGGCATGCAGTTACAAGTAATAGAACTAGTAGAATCATCTTTATCCCATTTTCTCCTCTCTTTGTAGTGTAGCAAATATTCCTCTAGAGGGCTTTATAAAGTCAGTGTGACTAACTTTGGTCATGTCATTACAGTGAATGGAGTCATAAATAACCTTTTAAGAGTGCTTTAAATTCTCAGTGTAGTTATGTTTCTAACCCTAAGTAATCTGTATTAATCTCTTTAAAATCTGTTAAATTTAATAATTACATATCAGTAATTAAAATCAATAATGTGGTGCCTTTGAGGGACAAAATTGTTCTGATTAGCTAAGATCAGTATCATAAAAGCTAAAAACGGAGCATCAGGTGAATAGATACAGCACACACATTGTTAAAAGGTTTGGTTTTAAGCAAATTTAAAAGAAGTCCGTCTCAGGTTTGTTAGTGAAGGTTAGTCAAAAGTGAACCAAATTGGTCATTATATGTTAATTGCCTTAGATGGTAATCGCGGAACCCGTGCTTCTTGCTCCTTAGCTCTTGTCAGATTGTTATACCACTTTGTTTTTATTAAAAGAAAATACACGCGCCATTTCCAAAGTTGTCACAGTCTGAGATTTTCTTTGTCCAGTTAAAATTTTCTTTTTCTTCTAATGTAAACGCTAAAATTTGAACCATGAAAAGCCCCGTCTTTTCCCTGCTGCAAAAAAATAAAACTTTGAAAGACTTTACCTCATTGTGCTTTCTCTCTATCTTCCTCCTTTCTTTGTCTCCCCTTCAGTATGGTCTAAAATCCATGCTGGAGTCAGATGACGGGATTCCTCTGCTGGTCAAAGCCATCAACCCCAGCGTGCCTCATATGATGGTGGATGCAGTCAAGCTGCTCTCTGCCATCTCGATTTTGGAACATCCTGAGAACCTGTAAGCATTAGTGAAATGTTAACACCATGTCTTTTAATAAGTTGAACACACAAAAATTATGGCCCTGGACAGCTGATGCTTTCGCACAGTTGTGTTTGAAGTGTAAGTCTAATACATTAACTAACTAACTAATACTACCTTACATTGACATCAATTAAACAATCACATATCATATTTCTCTTCAATTAAAGCAACAGAATTTACTTTCAGCTACATTCAGCATCTTTTTTTCATGGCAAATTTTGTATTGTTTTTTGATGCAACTGCATGTATTAAAATTGTATATGATGTGCATAATTGTCTGTTTTTAGGCACGAGCGTGTTTTGGAGGCCATTACAGAGGAGGCTGAGAGACGGGATATTGAGAGGTTTCAGCCTCTCCTGACTGGCATGAACATTCCCAACATTGCTCTTAAGGTACACATACAGACACACACACATACACTTTAATAATTATAAATCCCCATGTGTGTTCTTTCTATGACAGATGACGCCAACCCAATTGCATTTCATAGAAAGCGCTACTTGATGCAATCTGCAGTGTAAAATACTTGCTCAGCTGACAAATATTGTGCTTTGTCTCAGTTATTTATCCATTTAGTCTAATCTGTGAAGCTGACTTTATGATGTGTTTTTGACAGGGTGGCTGCATGCAGCTAATAAACGCCTTGATCAGCCGGGGGGAAGAGTTGGACTTCAGGATCCATATTCGCTCTGAACTGCTAAGATTGGGACTCAGAGAACAGCTGACGGTACAGAAAACACTCTCTTTTGATCTTCTCTCAAAGAGAGACTCTCCAACAACACACATTTGCACAGCCTTTCTCTTCTTGTCTCTCTCACTCTGGATGCCTCTGTCTTGTTGACTGGCAGACACACACTCATATGCTGTAAAAACTTTCTCTCAACTGTCCAAACTCATTGTTTGTCACACTCTTTCTGCCATTCTCCCGCTTACCTTTTCATCCCTCTGCCTGCATCCCATCGCTCTCGCTGCAGGAGGTGCGTACGATAGAAAACGAAGAGCTGAGGGTGCAGCTCACTGTGTTTGATGAGCAGGCTGAAGATGACTCTGAGGACCTCAAAGCACGTCTCGATGACATCCGCATTGAGATGGAATATCCTTCTACTGTGCAAAGTTGTCCCTCTGTAGTAATTGTCAGGGTCTACAATTAGACCTTGACAATCTTAATTATGACATAACATGCTTGTGCTTTCACATTTACATTACTTTGCTAGTTTGATAAGCAGGAAGAATAACCTTCATAAGTTTTTGTTTGTTTTTTTTTTTTATTATGAAATAGTATGTATTTGGTCTGATTCAGATAGATAGTATAAAAAATGATATGCATTTACTTCCCTGCATTATAAAAATTAGTCATCTAACTAAACAAAATCAGATTGCCCCTTTCTGCCCCTGTACAATCAGCCCTGACCACTTATTTTTTCAAGGTTAGATGCAAAAATAATATTTTCATACTTAATAGGCATTATCGATCAGGCTACAGGGACATTGTAAGCTTTTGTGGACTTTATTGCATTCAAAATTGTCTTTGACAATTAGCATCTTACAGACATTAGCTATTCATCTGTAGTGTTGAACAGTGTAAGAACAGCAAAACATCAAGGTGTCAAGGAAATTTATTTATCATTATACAACACAAGGTTGTACAACAAAATGAAAGTTTGTAGGCCCTTCATGCTACACATTAAACTCACCAGTCCCACATGAAATAAATAAAATATACAATTATTTATAATACAGATATACATACGAGAATATAAACAGTGGCAAGATAGTGATGATAACATATTTTGTATATATATAATTTATTTATTTATTTATTTAATAAAACATCCAATCACTGGTGGACACTGGTGTTATTGCTTTATTGCAATTACATTATTACATTGAATGGTGATTTTATTATACAGACAAGTCAAATTAGGTACACAACAATAATAGAAACTACTAAGTTAAGTGTTTATTTCTATTGTTGTATTTGGACTTGTTCATGCTACACTTTGATATATATATACTTTGATATCTTTGTGAATAAATGCTCTCTGAACATTTCACCACTTTGTGAAAAGAATGGGGCCCCTGGACCTGAGATGAGTCTCTTTATAGCGTTATTCAATGCAAATATGGTCTCTCTCTATAAAACCAGAATTTCTAAACTGATTTTGTCTGATTTGAAGATACATCTTTAAAAGGAGGCATTCAAAGGACGGTGTTTTCAATGCGTACTGTTTTTTGCTATTTGACTTAATCTGCCAAACAGGATGATTAGCTTTTTGATAAATAGAAAGTCACCCTTACTATAACTGTTCTTTAAAAAAACAGCAGTACTGTAGTTCTGCTTGCTGCTTTTGCCATGCAGTTTTGATTTTCAACACCAGGTGTCTCCCAGGCGTGGCCATTACAGTGTTAACAGTCTATCTTTGTGTTTATCATGTATGCAGGCAGCAGATACATTGTTGGAGTGGGGAGGACAATGTAACAAATTCATTTTGAGAAGCTTAAACATACTTGTGTAATAGATTTGACTGTGATATGACACTGAACCTATACAACAAAGATTATTAGATGGACCCAGTCTGCTCTCTTCCTGGCTGATTTCACAGTAATTCTACAGTGCAGAAATTACAGTGTTCATATTTGTGTTAAACTCTTCTATTCACTGTGTTAATTGAGCCTTAACTGGGTTTCCTTCAATGATGTGAGGGAAGTGTTTGAGATCCTATTCAACACTGTGAAGGACTCTAAGGCTGAAGGCTACTTCCTGTCCCTGATGCAGCACCTGCTGCTGATCCGTAATGATTATTGGGCCAGGTAACACATGAACATATACACACTCATACATAATCACACATGCTCACACATTCACATATTAGAGTTGATTTGTGACAACAGACTAGATGTTGTGTCATCAGGGATTTACTTACCACTGCTGTTCAATTATTGTGATAAATAAATTGTAATTCATGGGTAATAAAAACTAAAATAAGGCTAATTGTTAACATTTTCTGTGTGTATGTATAAATGTTCGATTTGGGAAACAGACTTCAGAGTCAATAATGCAGCAGAGAAAAAGCAGTAGTCTTTAGCATCCAGAGCCTCATCCCAAATGATTGTTACATATTGATATTGTGGTTTATGTAAATAAAGAATGCTGATTTTGGCAATATCATTCAGCCATATCATATACATGCAGGAAAGTACTTATGTAACTATCACTGGCAATTTGTTCTGCAGTACCTACAAGAAACTTAGAAGTACATCCTTCCTTTTCTTCAATTCCCTCTCTTCATCCACATCTCCCTCCTTTCAGTCATTTCCTCCATTTACTGTTTGTTTTCTAGAGCACCGTTCAAAGGCTGAGAAATTAATACATGCAAAGAAGTTTAATTCCATTTTAATAGAAATGAATGCCATCACCTCTTATCACCAGAAATATGCTAATGTTTCTCTCCCCGTGTCTTTCAAAGCCCTTGGGGTTTTAGCTTGGGAAACAGAGGAGAAAGGAAGAGTGACTGATTGAATGACATGGGGTAGAATAATGTTAAGGACAAGCCCACAGTTGTACGGAATAGTGCATGCACATTTCCAGCCGCATGTCCACTCCGTAACACACGAGGGCAGGAAAGCTTTGCTTTCACAGAAAACAAAACACACACAAACATGTGCATGCACACATTTGAGTTGCATTAGTTTTGTTGTTGGTCCAGTGTTGCCTTGATGGTATCAGACAGGCAGGAAATTGTGGTTTATTTTTAACACAGTTTGGGAGGATGGAAAAAGTAGATTGACCCAAACAAATAGTCCAAAGTGAAGTATTTTTACCTCCCCTCTCTTCCATCCCTCCTTCTTTCCTATCCTGCTTTCTCCATCCAGGTGATCCAGTGGAACACAGTAGAGGTGGTCTGTAATAGACTCCACAGAGAGACAGGAAGTGTAGGTGGGAGGGAGAGCTTGTAGAGTGGCACAAAATAGTGCTTGATAATTACAAAGATGAAAAGAAAAGGGAGGTGCAGTGTGAGACAGTAATGAGACAAAATGGAGAGTTGAGGTAAATTGCTTGGTAGTTGTTGAGAGAATAAGGGAGGGACATAGAGGGAATGGAAGGGCTAGCATTTGTGTGGGAATAAATAAAAGAGTACCTGCTGCGTTGGTCTTTTTTCATTCTTAGTCTTACTGTTTGTTTCAGTCTCAAGTGGAGATGGAGGCTTGGTAATTTATAAGAATACACAAATGCACTCATTAGAATGGTCATGCTAGTCCTGCACATAATGTGCATGTGCACAGACTGTAGAGGGCTTAATAGATATAGTTTAGAAATCTGACAGGGACATCTCTATATATATTTTTAGGATTTATCAAAATGTATATACCCTTAGTCCTACTAACCACCTTGTTACTTGTATAAATAATGTCTAAATTGAATGTGTTCAGGCTCATGAAGGATGCCAGATTTAGGATGTAGTCAAACACAAATATATTTCACTTTGACTCAGTTTTTTTAAAATGACACTAGATGTCTCTCTCGCTCCACGGATAAATCAAGCTTAAGAGAAAAAAAAACTTGAAGTATAGTGAAGGAGTGAAATAAGTGTTAGACAAAAGCAGAGTGACTAAGAGAGACAAGGGAGGGAGGGAGACAGAATAAATAAAGTATTGAGTTTGTGACTCTGGCAGCATCTAATGGGGTCAGGGAATAAGACACCTCCAAAATTGAGTGTCTGTGTGAAGCTGGCTTGATCAGACACGGGGCGCTGGACATACACCAACACACTCTCACGGACACAGTTGCACACCATCAATCTTTGTGACAAGAAACTCAAACTGTCGTGCTCACAGAGACAGCCAATCTCAGTTGCAGACAAAGACAAAGCATGCATGTTCACACATTTGTCTGAACAAATGAACCTACTGGCTCTTTGTCAATCCCATCCACTGCTCACAGATTTCTTGTCATTGCAGAGTAGAGTGGTAGTGTAAAATATATACATTTGCAATAATTCTCATTGTGGACATAACATGTACAGTATGGTGTAGACAGTGAAACTTTTTTTTTCTCACAGTACCAAAAACTATATATACTATATTTTTTATATATAATATAAACTCTCCTTCTTTGTTGTCACCCTCCTTCCACCCATCTCATCTTATCTTCCCCCTGTCTTTCTCCTTTTCTTTTTGTCTCCTGATCCATCTCTCTGTAAATCTGTCACTCCCTCCCTCCTGCAGGCCTCAGTATTACAAGTTGATGGACGAGTGTATCGCTCAGATTGTGCTTCACAGGAATGGAGCGGACCCTGACTTCAAGTGCCGTAACCTCAGTCTCAACATTGATGGCTTGATAGGTGAGCTGTGAGACCAGAACACACACGTGATCAAGTCTTTCCCTTTCTCTCTCTAAGTGTACATTGTTCCTTCTTGCCCATCATCCAACAAATCAAACACAAAATGCATATAGACCAGTAAAATCTGACTTTGCTGCTCACTACTGTATGATCAACCATATTTCACTTTTGGCCTACCCTACTCCAATCACTGACAGGATTGCTGTTTTGTTGTCACTGGCATTGTGCTTGCCTTTTGTTATTTGATCATAATTAATGTGTCATGTCTTATCTATGTGGTTGACACGTGTAGTGGCCCAGGGACACCACAGGGTGGAGCCAGAGTGTGAGTGTGTGTCAGTGTGGGCTGAACTGTGCTACAGGTTTTACAGTCATAGGTCATTGGTTTAAAACGAATGTTGTCAAGAGGATAAAAGCTTTATCAAACTAAGCAATCCCAGACTGTGATTTCAAAAATCAGTAGCTCGAATGTATTAATAAAATAGAAGTCATCAGTGCTCATGTGTCGGCAAGCATTCTCTATGTTCTCAGTTCTTCAGGTCTGTCTTAAAGAAATAATGAGGTGCCCATATGAACGTTGAAACGTTGAAACTTTTCTTCCTCCTTTTTAATACTGGCCATTAAAAAGATTTCAAGAAAATTGCAATAGGTGCATCTCCAATTCTAAAAAGACTAACTTTGCAAGATACTCACTTAATTTGACCAACTCAGACTGCTGAAGCCTTATATTAACTTGAACTATAATTCAACTTATGCAATACTTGTTTTGCATAGAACGAGGGCCATAGATTTTGTCTGTCATCACTTCCATTAGAAATGCATTAGGAAAGGATTTTTTTAATGGGCAGTATGAAAAGAAGGAATGACGACAGCAACTGGTTGAACATGCACATAGGCACCTGACAGTTGCTTTAAGACACACTTGAAAAATTGTGAACATATCCTCTTAAGTGCCCATGAGCAAGACACAGAATCCCTATCGGCTTCAGGGGTATTCTATGGGGATCAAGAAACTATAATGATGGAAACAGATGCATCTAGTTTTCTGTCAATCTTTTCTTGTAGATTTGTGGACTTACATGATACCTCTAAATGTTGACTAGGAAACACCTGCTGTCTGTAGTAAACTAAACCAGAACAGAATGGAGGTGCAGGCCATGTCTCAAGAGTTCAGTACTCCTTTATGGCAGGTCTCCGTTGCTCACCGTAGGAGGCTCTAATTGCACTGCTTCTAAATGTGTCCTGACACACACACACACACACACAGGCTGGCTGGCCTCCTTTAAGGCTGCCAGAGTTATTATCGGTGGAAAGCAGCCCAATTCTGCCCTGCATGCATTATTTAGTGTTTTTCTTTGAACTCTGAAATTCAGCACAGTTTTCCCCCCACATTCTGGCTCCCTTAGTGCTCTCTATTCGAAGTTTGTCCCATTTAGCCTAGCCACCATGACAGAAGTAAACCGCCCCCTCCTCCCCTCCATTAGACATCCAATAACCACATAAACTCATACACAAATGCACAGTCTGACATTGTATGTCGGTTGGCATATTATTGTGAGGTTCTTTCATCCGGCAAAAATCTTCTCTTTCACAAAATAGATTACTAATTTTTCTCTGGCTTGCTTACTAGCTTATCTAGACACAAGGAATCTTACATAGTTTGACTCCCTTTTTCACTTGCCACGTTTTCATTACAACTGAAGCCTCAAACTTTATCCCTTCACAATCTTTATAAATCACTTTCACAGGTTTATGTAATTTCTTCGTTTTCAGCTTTTCACAGCTCTTCTATCTCTGCTATCTGTCCATCTGATCTCTCACCTGGGGATCATGATTAGCTGTCTTTGATCCAGTGACATTGTGGCATTCATCTTGAAGTTAATTAGCTCTTTTATTGCACATGCTCGGTAAGCCCTTGGGCACTAAACCACCTGTAGACCCTGCAATTATTTGGTAAAGGTACCCTGTTGGTCAGCTCATGTCCTTCTCACTTTTACAGTGTTATTTGGTCTGTTTTTAAGGGGTGGATATAAGACTTTGAAACAAAGTGGTGTGAGATGTATTTCACATAGAGAGAAATTAATGTGCTCCCTCCTCCTCTTTTGCACCTGCACACAGTCAGACAAAGTTGTATGTATTGGAGGCTTAAAAGGTAATGATGTGTAGAAGCAGCGTGCAACAGATGGCATCCTTTTAATAATGAGATGCCTCTGCTATCGTCTCACAGATCTTGACTTTGAGTAGTGTGACAAGGGAAAATATGGAAGCACAAAGGACTCTTGCTCTGTGTGTATGCTTCTGTTTGTGAATGTATGTGTGCACACAGCATGTGCCAGACGGAAGGGTGCGATTTTCACGGCCAGAAGTGTACGGATGCGTTGTCTGAAATCCTCATCTTATCCACCACCTTTTTCCCTCTTTCTCTTTTCCTTTGTCTGTCCCTCTTTGTTTGTCCACAGACAACATGGTGGACCAGACCAAGGTGGAAGCCAGCAATGCCAAGGCAAATGAACTGGAGAAGAAGGTGATATACTCACCAGTTAATTCACATCACAACAACAGCCTGCCGTGAAGACATATTTACATGTCAACCCAGAAGCACACAAGCTGTTACAATCATATAGACACAAAAGAAAATCAGACATTGTAAAAGCTAACATTTGCCCCTCACACATAGACACATTGGGATTGTAATGAAATTCTGTGCGACTAGCGTCTGGCTGACATGGGATGACAAAAGAGAACAAGGAAAGGAACAGAGGTTGACTAAGAGAATGAGCACACACATGGCTGACAGACACATACTAATACAGGCTAAATCAAAAAACACAAGCTACACACACACACATTCACACAAGGGGGTAAATGTGGTGTGCTGCTACCCTGATGTTTCTGTCCTAGTGACAGGATAATTGCAAAGAGGGAGCTGAAACTAGCCTTCATTCAGGCTCTCATAAAGACACACACTCTCACATGGGATCATATCCATTTAAAGCACACACATCCACACAAGCACACATTACATGAACACACTTGGATTAATTTTTGTTGACCACACACACCATAGTGCTAGTGGTGTATGATGGGGTAATTGCAGGCAGTCTCTTTGGCAGGAATTAGGCATGAGGCTGACAGGACTGACAGCGAGAGTAACGGATCTGCTGTCGGCAAATTAAACAGCCATGTGTGTTTATGTGTTCATGGATTCATCTGTTTAAATACTCTCATACTGTTTGTCAAATGTCCTAGAAGAAAATTTATGAAAATGAGAAAAATAAAAATTGGGGGTAAAATGTTTTTCTCTTTTTTTTTTTTTTTTTTTTTTTTAAAAGACATGAAAGCTTTAAAATGGAAGTGAGCTCATACAAGTGCACTGAAGCATTCTAACTCAATAATTGACACTAATTTGCAGTGCAAATTATACAATGCAACTAAAAGCACTAGACTGCAGGAAATGCTTCTACAGGTCTTTGGGATACAGAAACTGAAAGGGATGGAGACTAAAAGCTTGTGCACGCAAACACACCTTGCCCCACATTTCACTGGAGAACACTGATGTTTTGGTACCTTCAGAGTTGATATTTACTTGGTTTACTTTTTTGTTTTTTTTTTTTACTTTTTTCAGTCATAAAATTTTATTTTTTATAAAATTATGTAGTAGTGCCCCTTCTGAATTACAGAAGCACCACACAGCACAGCATCCGTTATATATTAATATTACACAGCCAACATGAATCCTTGTTTGAAATTGACAATCACACAAATATTGTTAAGTCACCAAAAAAGGCTACCCAGCACTTTTTAGGATTGTGTAACCGAGTCTGTCCCTCTCTGTGACCCATTACATGTGTATTAGCTGGATGCAGAGCTGACGGCACGCCACGAGTTGCAGGTGGAGCTGAAGAAACTGGAGGGTGACTATGAGCAGAAGCTGCAGGACTTGAGCCAAGAAAAGGAACAGCTGGCCACTTCTAAGCTGGACCGAGAAAAGGAGAACCAGGGACTACAACAACAGCTAAGCGCTCTGAAACAGCAGGTACACACAAACACATACACACACCCACCTGTCTATGTGGGGCTCAATGCCTTTTTAATTTAAATAACTCAAAATCTAAATGAAAGCTGGTTGCGATTTTATTTTTACTGTGGAATATTGAGCCAATAGGCTAAATGGAATAAGTTCTCTCAGTAGGTTTACGTGAATTAATCATAAGGTAAATGCCTGAATTTACTGAATTAAACATAAGTTGAACACTGTATGACACATCCAGAAATATATGTGGCGAGCTGACCCGCTCAAATAGTTCACTCAGTATTTCTAACATTGCTTCATGCCATTGTCCGTATAAAAGAACCAAAACGTTATGACAGAATCGATTAAGATTGCGTCTTGGAATAACATACACACAAAACAGAAACTTCTGCTAAAGCTGAAAGAAGTAAAATATTTTGAGGCTTAGAGAAATACAATATTGGAGAAGTCTAAGTACCAAAAAGTTGTCTAACATCTATCCATGCCCACACAAACACAGAAGCCCCCTGGCCTTAAATGATTTTGCCAACTGCTAGCATGGCACAAAAAGAGGAAAAAAACTAAAAGGATATTGTGGGAAGAAGCCAAATCCTTTAGAGATTAAGAAACCCAATAAAAACATGGGAAGTGGGGGAATAGGAGTATAAAGACTGACTAAAGGGAGAAGAAAGAAGAAGAAATGGAAGGGATGGAGATGGGACAGACTGAATTTTTTAAGGCCAAGATACACAGGCAGGGTGGTGTGCGTGTGTGTACACTCATACAGTAGGGAGGCAAAGATGAGGATTGTTTAGCTGTCAGTGTCCTGCTGCCACACCAGCTGGACTCTGCCTCACAGTGACACCCAAACTCACTAACACACCAAGTGACCCAGAACAGTTTGCCTCTGTGCATGTGTGCGCATAACCACATGAAGATGTTCCTGTGTGTGTGTGTGTGTGTCTGTCAGTAAGAGAACTACGGCTTCCAAAATGAGCCTCATCCAAAGTGGCCGATGCCAGCGGAGTCATCTTCTCACCACGCAAAAGCCCAAACACACACACTAACACACAGACACATGCATATGCACACACAGTTGTCCAACGCACAACAGCATCAGCAGCCAGGCATCTAACAAGCTTCTCATACTAAGATGGCTCACTTTCTCTGTGTTTGAGGCACTGCCCATCGAAGATTTCTTCACATGTAGAGATCTCTCACTGTCCTTCCGTGTGATGCTGTGCCCAACTCTTCATCTGCTGCCTCACTAAGAAAGCTTGCCTCTGAGGCCCTTCATGTCTGTTACTGTCTGTCTTCTTTTCAAAGTCCGAGAAAACAACACAAACAATTTGTTACGCTGCATACGACACTCTTTCACACATATACATGCACTCTATTTACACTTTACTCATAAGAACACGTACAGTAAATACACTTCTCTATACTTGTGCGCTTTAAATCACATACAGTACATTCCCATTTAAGCCCTTCAAATCGCCTTCTCTCATAGGCCTGTATTAGCTAGCGAACTTTAATGACTTGGACAATTTTCTAAAGAATCGCTGATGTAAATACTAGAATTAGTATTTCAGTGTTGAAATAAAACAATTTAAATAAAAAAGTTTGTCCTCCTCTTTAAAACTTCTTCTTTTGAATTCCTCTGTGGACTTAATTCCCCCCTGCTATGTTTTTCTCTCTGCGCCTTGTTGTCCATTCTCTCCCCATCTTTCTCAACTCAATCCTCCCCAGGCTTTAATCCCTTTCTGTCACTCTTTCCCCTCTTTTGTTCTGCCTTTTTCCCCCCATTCAAATCTAATCACTCTGTTGGCATCGCTGTTCATTGGAAATGATGGAAATTGGCACATCTTTACAAAATTAATGTCAGTTCAAAGAATAAACAATATAGAGTCAAGACACATTCATATGATAAATTACTGTATATGGTTTTTAAAAATACAGTAGTATGTCGATTGGTTGATTAATCAATACTTATGATAACATGTCTCACTTCCCTGCAGATTGAAAAGCTGTCTAAAGATCTGGAAGAGGCCAAGACTAAAGTTGTCACAGTTACTGTTCCTGTGCCAACACCTGGTTTGCCCCCTCCACCACCTGCCCCTCCTCTCCCTGGCCAGAATGCAGGTATGGTCCCCCCTCCTCCACCTCCGCCCCCACCACTACCAGGCCATGCAGGTATGCCCATTCCCCCACCACCTCCTTTACCGGGTAATGCCTGTATTCCGCCTCCTCCTCCCCCACCTCCTTTACCAGGCATGCCAGGACCGCCACCACCCCCGCCCCTCCCTGGCATGCCAGGACCGCCACCCCCTCCACCCTTACCTGGGATGGGACCACCACCCCCGCCACCGCCACCTGGGGGTCCTGGTTTCCCTCCTCCACCACCAGGCCCAGGCATGCCTCCACCTCCACCATTTGGCATGGGGGGCTGGGGTCCCCCTGCCCCACCTTCTCTGCCATTTGGGCTCCAGCCTAAGAAGGAGTTCAAGCCTGAGGTCCAGCTGAAGAGAGCCAACTGGAGCAAGGTCAGTCCAAGATAGTTTAATATATTATCAATACTCAAAGCGATTGCAAAATTGTCAGTTATTTATCTGGGGGAAAAAGGAAATTCACATTTATGTCTACATTCTTTGATTCATTAAATGATATAAAAGTTATTTTAAAGTTTATATGTGTTTTTCTGTGCTAGCTCAGGGTGTGCCTTTTATATGTGCAACAGTGTGAGAGAAATGTGAAATGGAGCTTTAACAGTGAGATTCTGACCTAAAGTGACTTGCATGCATACGTGTATCTCATGACTATGTGCTTCATGTTCTTCTCCTCCCTCTCATCTGTGATGGTTAAAACATCAAAACAGCCCTCTGTCTTTCTTTAGCCTAAAGCTACTGTTTAATGGCTTCAGCAGACTTCATCAGCATTTAGTTTCTCTCTCTCTCTCTCTCTCTCTCTCTCTCTCTCTCTCTCTCTCTCTCTCTCTCTCTCTCTCTCTCTCTCTCTCTCTCTCTCTCTCTCTCTCTCTCTCTCTCTCTCTCTCTCTCTCTCTCTCTCTGGCTGGTGAGTGTTTGACAAGGATGTCACAGAAATTGCTTTTTAATAAGCCTTCTTCTTTTAACTGCGCCACTGAAAGATAATTAAATTGCTGCTAGAAAGGACAGTATTCTTTTGTAATTTAAATTAACTTTTTTTCTGGCTTGCTCATCCTCATTTTGTGTGCTCTCTTGCTTTCTTTCTTGCTCCTTCAGCTCATGCCCATATCACATTTCCTTTCCCTACTCTGTCTTTTCCGTCCTACGCCCCCATCCCCGAGGCTTTGTCCATAATGAAAGGACTGATATCTGTAAATTTACTAACACTGTTTTCTCACTCACTCTCTCGGTTTCACTTTCTCTTTGTCTCTTTTCCTTTGATGAGAGCGCTCAGAAAGTGAAGGAAAAACATGCAAACTTAATTGTGACTTGTGACCAGAACGGAGAGAGGGGACCTGAGGAAGGCTGAAGCAAGAAAGAGTAGGGGGAGGAAAAGAGGTGCAACCCTCTGTATTTCTTTGCATTTCTGTGTCTGAAGCTCAAGACACTTTGTGGTAGAATCAGTTTGTGAAGAGTAGAGAAAATGACTACTTGTTTTCTCCTGTTCCTTTCCTCTTTGTGCCTGCCTTTCTTCCTTCCTTCACCATTCTCCCCTCTCTCTGCTATCATACCCCTGCCTCTTCCTTTTACAGCCCTGCTGTTTCTTTTGTCCTGTCGACTTTTTTATCCGATCATCTCATTGTTTGCCAGGTGCACAGATGACCATTTTTGGAAAATTGAGTCAATTTGATGATATAGTTATCTAACGGATACAATACATCTCTCTCTCTATCGCTCTCCTTCATTTTGTCTCCCATCTACTCTCTCTGTACATATTGGCATTTCTTTCTCTTAGATTGGGCCTGAGGACCTCTCTGAGAACAGTTTCTGGACCAAGGCAAAAGAGGACAAATATGAGAACAATGAGCTCTTTGCCAAACTCACCCTGGCCTTCTCCTCGCAGACAAAGAGTGAGTGTGTGGCTTGTGTGTTTTTACTACTGCTGTTATCATGTTGTGTTTCACAATAATGAGCAATGTCTCTCTCTGTGTCTCATATCTCCTGCATCCCTCCTCTCCCTCCCCGACTTGCCTTTTCAATCCTCCTGCTTGGCTTCCATCAGCCACTAAAGGTAAGAATATCACGCACACACTTACATTTTGTCCTTTTTTCACATATCATCCCCAGCCTTTCTCACCCTTCCCTTCCTCTGCTTGGAGGACATGCTGCACATTTACATTATTCAGCAACGCTGTGTCAAAACAACATCTCACAAGTTCATGAATAAACCACCCACACCTGTGTTTGTATATGTGTTCATCCTTCTCAGTGTGCCCATGACTTGTTGTGCAGAGACAGAGCACTCACTACCGGGTGAGATGAATTGGGACTTGGGGACAGAGGGAGAGATGGACAAATGGAGGAGGGTAGAGGGAGGGATAAGGAGAAGGTCACTGATGTCCTTTGACTAGCCACCTGCTGTCCTGGCACAAAGCGCTGACACACGGGTGGACGCTCACACGTGCACACCTGTCCACTCCTATCACCTTGTCCCAGTGTCACCGAGCCTTCTGCTCTAACTCCTCCATATTCATATCATAACCGGGACACCAGGAAATCGCAGACGGACAGTGTGTGCGTGTGGGTGTGTATATAATTCCATCTGACCTTCAGATTCAGTCTCGGTACACATACACACACAGACTCTTGCTCATGTCATATACATAAACAGAAGTGCGCATGCACACATGGCTGATGCTGTTGATGTCAGTTAAATGTCAGTGTTGGCAGCTGTCCCATCTGCATTCACCTGTATGACAAGTCCTAACGTCCGCCTGTCACTCGTTGATTTGACCCCCCCATCCCCTTGGCCTGTGCACCCACTCTACTTTTTATTGGGTGAGACAGCCGCCTGTTCCGGTTGATGTCTAATAACCTTTTCTGAGAGCTGACCATAAAGACACCGTGGCCTTTTCATAGCCCCACACCTGTCTCCCTGTATGGGGGGGTGTGTGTGTGTGTGTGTGTGTGAGAGAGAGAGAGAGAGGGATAGAGAGACACACCAGGTCCAGTGTTTTTATCACTCTGTATATGTTTGCTGATTTTTGATAAGTTTTGTAGTTAGGAAGAAACAGTTCTTTAAAAGAGGATTGGAATTTCATTGAGCTCTTGTGTTTTTGTGAGTGTGCATATGTGGTTTAATCCACACTGTCTATGGAGTATGTTCATGAAGGTGTGTCTGTAGCTGCGCATGCACACACGCCCAATAAGCAACCGGTTCTGGTTATGCAGATTGACCCTTCACCCCTCGTCCTTCTTTCTCTTGCTTATACACACAGCTCAAGGCCTAATGCATTCCTCCTGACCTATCTTCCCTATCCTTCTTCTTCACCCTCACCTCTTTGAGACTGGCTTCACTCTTCCTCATCCTCCTGTTCTTCCTCCTTCTTCTCCTCTTATGCCTTCCATTACTCAGTACCCAGCAAAGCAGATTGACACCACACCAAGCCACCACTGACCCTTCCTGACCCTTCGTCCTCCTCGCCATCAGCGCAGCTGGCTTTGCATGCATACAGACACCCACATAGACGTGCAGGGGGGTAGTGCGCTTAAGGCAGGGTCAGGGGTGTGACCTCTGATGCTTGGTGGAAGAGCAGAGAGCTGATGGTGGGAGACACGGTCTCTGGCTGCCCATGGCTCTCCTGGACACAATTCCACAGTCTGACACAAACACACTACATACTATATATTTTATCTTTTGCTCTTTATCGATGCAGTTAAATCTATTTTCAGTCTTTATATCTCTACCTATGTATTCATCTCTGTCTGTTCTCTGTCCCATTGAAAATGAGTCAGTAGTTTAGCTGAGGCCAGTTATCCTTCATGCTAGTGTTCTCTCTCTCTGCTGAGCATGTCAGAAGTTAACGAGACAAATCCTGAAGATAATTAAAAACCTTTATTTTTTGTCTTAGTTGAAGTAATATTACTATTGTCAGGTTAGATGGATTTTTGCCAAAACAAGAGCAGATCCTGTGAAATCCTCCTTAAGAAAGCATCCCCATAAACAGAAGCTGTTATCCCCCACTGAGCATCAATTCTCTGCTAGTTAGTTTATATATTTGTAATGAATCTATTAGCATCTATAGCAAATATATCATAGAGAATTCCTAAGTCAATGTTTTGGATTTTATTCCAGTCTGGCATTCTTCAGTCACATTTCCCTCAATGACAAATATTGAAGTTGATGGTAAGTAGGGGTGGTCTTTTTGTTTATCCTAAGCACCACCTTTTGTAAAGGAAATATGTGATGATATATTCTTAATAGTAATTCTTAAGACTGTGAGCTGCATTTTTTTATGTTACTTTGAATGTGGTTGAACTGATGCCCAATCTGAGGTAATAGGAAGCTATTGCACTGTACATTTGTTCAGCTTGATGTGATACATAATTCTAGTTCCATCCAGAGTATCCACTAGAGTTTATTAGTATGTAACTAGCCAAATACTACTGCAATATTTGTAGTGGAGACATGATACTGTTACACTGCCATCTTCTTCCTGTTTATATTCCTGTCAGACATGTGGAGAAGACAATATAAGTTTTTTTTCTATTGTGATTTGGGAGGGTTTGTAATCAATTGTAAACAGGCAAGTTGTATAGATGAGCATGTAAGCAGTTAGTGTAGTGTATAAGGTTTCAGACAGGAAGCTTATACCCAGATTCTCCGAAGCCAAAGATTCTCATATGCTCACAAAGTAATTGTGTCTGTTGTGTCTACTTTTTAGTATTTTTTCTCTATTTTTCATAGTAATAATGGCAATGATAACGGGTGAACAGAATCCAAACAGAGGTTGACATTTGTATGCATAGTTATCCAAGTGCAGGAGGACAGTGACAAGGCTAGAATTCGTACTCTGTTCATCTAATATGGGTATATATATCCTGAACTGTCCTTTTCTCACTTTTTCATCTGTGTTTGATAGCAGGTGCCTTTTTGAAGTCGACACCTCAGATAGCCCAATTAGCAAAAGAATGAGAGGGAGAGAGAGAGCAAGAGATGGGGAGAGAGGAGGAGGAGGTGGTGGGTGGAAAAAAAAAGAAGAGTGAGCAGAGGGAAAGGCTGGGCTATAGGGAGCGGCGGTGATTAATTTGATTCGGGAGAGAAAAGGGCCAGGAGCATATATGATTATTAATCCTCATAATTTGAGGATCATTTTCATATCCCAGTTCTCCAGCCTTTATACCCTTCCCACTTTTGTGTCTCAGTCTATTGCTGTGTTTCTGTAGTCTGTTGTAGTACAGCGACCTCATTTACCTTTTTCTTCACATAGAACAGCACCTTCCTGTATCACATCTGCTTCCTGTAAAATACAGACAAGTTTATTGCAGATGAATGCATGTTTGTCAGTGCAAGGGTGTCTGTATGCTAGTGTATATGCTCGAGAGTGGGTGGGGAAGCTCAGCCACATTTACAAACAATTTTAATAACCTAGCCTTTTGATGTCCCTGTGTTCTGAAGAAATCAATTTCCTTCTCTGTAGGTATATATGTTTGTGTGTATGTATATATGTGCGCGTGTATTTGTTTTAATGAACCACCAATCAGCAAGAAAGTGCCGTGTGTGCGTGTGTGTGAACGCGTGCGCTCGTTCACCTAGGGTCTCTCTTGGGTTGTAAACCAATCAGTTAAACTGGGATGAGATATCTAATGCATTAGCAATAAAAGACCAAGTGGCATGGAGAATTATGGTGCAGTGTTGTTGATTAGGTCATTACATATACTGCTAAACAGAGTTCACAACATTTGGTGACTTGTTATTGTTACAGTGCACTGGCTCAAGGTCATTGTCAGTCAAAGAAAAATGTCCATGCTAATGAAGTAACTCAAGCTAACACACACTCCTTGCACCGTGTGTGTGTGTTTGTGTGTTAACAGAACAGCAGACTGATTGCTGGACTGTTACAAAAATGTCAGCTGTGTGATAATTGTTACTGTAGATTTATCCTGGCCATTAGTAAGGCACAGTTAATGGACAATTCTTCATGTGAATCAATAATGTAGTTTGGTGTCTTAACTGTATGACTGCTTATTAGGGTTATTGTAATGGTATTTTTTATACAGAGCCAGAGGAAGAGGGGTTATAGTCGGTGAAAAAATTAAGATTTACAATATAATACTTGGATATGGAAATAAGATTCATTGGATTATATTCACAGAAAGTATGAAACATATTACATGTGTACATTAAAAGTAAATGGACACATTTCATTTACTTAACCGGACCCTCTTGGACCTCAGACCCACCCACATCAGTCTCTCAAATCCTGTGGGAAACACTGAGTAACAAGCACATTTTGACTATTTCATTTATGCAATGCTAAAAAAAAGGCAAAATAAATGGAAAAAATGTGAATGTACTTCTTTGCTGTACTTTGGTGTTCTGTATTCGGCAAATTTTCTGTTTCGGCTTCAGCCAAGAATTTTCATTTTGGTGCATCCCTACATAAAAGATTGGGGAAGAACTGCAGAAATGACCAAGTGACATCATTGTGACATGCTTTCAAGTGGCTTTGTTGTCCCTCATCAACTGTCTGAAAGCTCCACCTCTTCTCTTATGTCTTCATTGACTCTTGTCTTGTATTATTAATGACTGACAAAAAAATCTGTAAATTTACAACTTTAATCTGAGGCTTTTCTCAGAATATTACCCACCTCCCCAAGCTCCATAATTTATTTATGTTTACCTGCAATGGCCCTACAAACCTGCCTACAAACGTTGTCTGATTATACGTGATAGCCACGCAGTCACTGCTTCAGATTTGACAGGCCTGATAAATTACTAGCAAGTTTTTGTTGAAAATGACCACAGGTGAGAAAGGGGAAGACCCTGCTTTTCACTTCAATGGGCAGATGTTTCCTTTCTTCCCTCCCTCCCTCCGTCTCCTCCTCCTCCATCCCAGTTTCATAATCCCCCACAACCCACTTCTAGAAGATGTTTGTTTTCCACTGTTGGAGCCTGGTGTGTGTGTGTGTGTGTGTGTGTGTGTGTGTGTGTGCGCGTGTGCGCGTATTTTTGTGTGCATGATTGTGTATAATTAGGGAGCATTTTAGATAACAGTTTATGGGATGTGT